TCCACCGGTGGCCAAACGAGCAAAACCAGTTAAACTCCTCCAAGACTCCACAGCCAGTGCTCTGCAGCGAGGACCCTTGGCTGGCTGGAGTCCGTACTCTTAACCCCTACAAGGTGCCGTGGCCTCGGTGAAAAAGAGAAAGATGGGCAATGGGCCTTTGGATGGTCCGTCAGGTGGAGCTCTAAGCACAGATGTGAGCCTCTAGGGCCATGAGTGAAGAGAGGAGAAAGCAATTTAGGATGCGCTATTAGAGAGAAGTACAAAAGCGGAAATAGGTAAAGTCATTAGGGCAGGAAGTAAAAGGGTCTTTGCAACCCTGGCATATTACGCACCCGAGACAACGGGTGTGGGTTCTATAAGGAGCCACTTCCGGGAGCAGTGGGCATGGAACTCAGGGCCTCTAACACGAGAGGCATCTGCCCTGCCACTGGCTCCATATGCCTGGCCCCATAAATAGTTTTTTTATTTTTTTGCTTTGTTTTTGTTGTTTCTGGGCCACACAAGCCATGCTCAGGGCTTACTCCTGGCCCTGCACTCAGGAGTCATTCCTGGCAGGGTTCAGGGGACTATGACAGGTCCCAGGGAACGAACCTGGGTAGGCCTCGTGCAAGGAAAGTGCCCCCTCCCTGCTGTATTCCCTCTCCAGCTCCTACATCTTTTCACTGAATACCACACGATTCCCAAATACTCATTATCAAATACCCATGCAAAAAAACACTTTGTATCAATAGTTGAGCAAAACCCAGAGCATATGGAGTGCAAGATACCATGTCATTAAACACGAAACAATAGCTCAGCTACCATATGGGAATATTCCTTACCTTACATGCAGCTAAGGTTCTGAAAAGCATGATTCACATCCTACTTTTACAGCAACAGAACATGTTACTGCTTTCCATTTTGTTTAAGATGAAATATTGGCTCTTCCTAGTTTTGCAAGTGACAGAAAATTACACTGCATCTTCCCAGAAGAGAACTTATAAAGAACACGTATATGAAAACTGATTACTACTCGCTCGAAGGAATCACCACAGCATCTGGTGAATACTGCGTGGAGCTACTGTAATAAATCTTCTGTACAGCTAAACAGCGTTGTTTTGCTTTGGTTTTTGTTTTTTTTTAAGTGTTCCCCAGCATACTTCCCAATTCTACATCCTAATCACATTTAGTGGAAATGAGCTTCATCAAGACACAAAAGACTGATGTCCCTTCCCCAATCTGAGACAACAGCTTTAAAGGAAACAAAGCCACTTTTTCAGGCCCAACTCCACATACTGTGCAAATTCTTATATGTGCACAAGTCCTCAGGGATCTTGTTAAGATGAAGGCTTTGACTCGGGGGGTCTGTCTCTGGGCCCACACAGAGCACTTCTAACCTCTCCTCCCGGCTGAAACAGCTACATCGGGTCTACAACGGACTCAACCGTGGGCCAGAGAACAAAAGCTTCATTGGCATTTGGCATTTGGGAACTTTGGGAGCTGCATGGCTTTGGTGTGGCAATGGGAGAGGGCGCTGGGGTCGCCCACAGAAGTGGATGGACTGGAACTTTGAACTCATAAAATCCTTTCACAGATCGCACATCCTTTTCTCCCAGAAGGGAGCATAACATCACACTCTCCATAATCATGCCACCAGACCCAATGCCAGGCCGTTTTACTCAGGGTGCCCCAGAGGGGAGGTGGGTAAGACGCCTCCCCACTCCAAGGGACCCAGCCCTGGCAGCTGAAAACCTCCAGAATCCAGCCGTCACCACGCTCATGGCTGCTCTCCACACACTCGGGCAGAGCCTCACCCATGAGTGAACCTATTTCTGGACCACACGGCCACATTTGCGGCTGCACAATACTTCAGACCACACTCCCTACCCATACTCCAAGATTACAGCACCATGTTTGATAGGCTTCAAAGTAGGAGGCAACCAATCCTAGAGGGAAACATACATTTTTTTAAACAGATATAAATACATAAAAGCACACAAGTCTCAACCGTTAACAACATGTAAATGATCTCTTGTAGAAGGGTTTAATAGCACCTGGGTGAAATAAAACAATCTCCACACTCTTTCCTCTAAGGATACTTTTTTTGTAGCATTTTTTGCGGGTTTTTCAGAGCAAACAATACAAAATATATTATTTCGGTTCTGCTTTGGGGCAGGGATTGGGCTTTGGGATGGAAACATCCGAAATATGGTGGTGGGAAGGTGTAATGGTGGTGGGATTGGTGTTTGAATATTAAATGTGATCAAATATTGTGAACTACTTTATAAAATTTTTTAAAACATTTAAAAGAGAAACAAAAATAAAATAAAATCCTTTCAGAGCTCACACATGCGTGCTCGTGTTGCCATGCTAAGGAAGTTTACTTGGCTGTTTTTCTCCTGAATCGGGGTGCCCTCCACAGAAGGCCCTGATGGTCCACACAGCGGGCTCCCCTGCTACAACACCTCAACAGGGCCCCACCGCGTCCACCGAAGGGCCTGGAATGCTCCGGGGCGGGGGGGGGGGGGTGTCCCCATGTACGGGGGCCACGCACCCTGCTGGGAAGCAGGGGTAGGAAGTCGTGTCCTGGCCCTCAACAAAGTGGCTCCCGCCTGCTGCTGAGTCCTCCCCCCACACCCCCGCACATAGGAACTTGTGTTTTATTCTGAATCCGCCACTTTCAGCAATAGCCAAGTTGGTCTTCCTGTTTCCTTGGCTCCAGAATTACAAGCTACTCGAGGGCAGCAACATTTACCACTGGTTTGGATGTAACTCGTGCCAGGGGCAAGCAGCTAGGGATACTGTGTGGTGAGGGACAGCAGCACTGTGACCTGAGATGGCAGGACTATCGAATACCCCAGCGCCCCGTGGGAAGTTTCTATTTAAAAAAATAAGTGAGACGAAATCAAGCGCTGGTCCTTACATATGGCAATCTAAATATTCCCAAGCCACAAGTCTAAATGACACCTCCTGCATCTCCCAATATGGGCAGAGTGCTTGCTGCGTTACTTCACATTTCCCCAGCAACTGCACCTAGAAAGTAAGTTTAATCTTCTCTGAAACATTTTTCTCGGGGCTTAAATTGTAAACGAACCTGATGAACTCACACTGGTTGAAGAAAATTAATCTTGTAATGAAATCATAACATCATTCTGAAACTTCACCAATGCAAAGGAAAATAGGGCTCAAAGAAATTTGGGCATCACTAAATCTGTCATGTTAGAAAAAAGCACAGTGACAGTGGCCTAGAGAGAGAGCACAGGGGTTAGGGCATTTGCCTTGTATGTGGCTGAGCCAGGTTTAATCCTGGCACTTCAAATAGCCCCCCAAGTACCACTAGCAGTGATTCCTGAGCACAGAGCTGGGAGTAAGCCCTCATCTCTACCAGGTATGACCCGAAACCAAAGACAGCATGGTGACAAAAGAACTAAAGGGTCCTCAAGATACCTGGGAGAACTTGGGGTCTAAGGAGATGCTACAGTGACTTTAAATCAGGAAGTCACCTCAGTCCAAAATCAGCCAACTTGACAATCTCTCAAACAACAAACACAGAAAATAACCCCCATAATCTATGAAGACCAGAATGACATGAACAGAAGTCAATGGAAAATCGCCTCTCCTAAATTCTGGACATAAATCAATAGACAACCTAAGTTAATTCCAAATAACTTCAAAAAAATGAATCCAAGTCTCTAGCCAATGGATAAGATATGAGATCAAAATAAAAAGTAAAACGGACTTGGGATCGCTACCAGTGCGGGAAGACAAAAACTAATTATCAAGACTGACAATACTTTATAAACCAAGAATTAATAGCACTGGTTTGATTTCATGACTTGCTGAACAAACATTTTATGTGAGAGTTGTGAGGGCAATATTGATTATCCAACCTACCTGAAGAACAAGTAGTGCCCACATATGCCAAAATTCCTTGCAAAAGATATTCATTCATCTTCACTGAATTACCTTTCCTTGAAAATTACCTCTCCTCGTCTTTTGAAAATGGTGGGTATTTGTGGCAGGCAGAAAACCATCTCCCATAAAAAATGCCTGCATTCACATCCCAAGAACCTTTGGATACGTGGGCGAGGAACATTTGTCCTGCCCAGGGCCATTTGGTTTCCATAACATTATTCACGGGCCAAACAGTACGGGCAGATGGGCTGACGAGGAAGCTGCATGCCTGTCCCATCATGCATCGGGGCCAGACCAAGCGCTTTTGTGAGCTAGTCTCCACTTCTCCTTACATAGAAAAAGGGATTCCATGATTTTGATTGAGCTAATAACCTTAAGAGAAGGATATTTCCCCCGATTACTCAGGTAGGAACAAAGTAAGCCGTGGACACCCCATGATGGAAAAAGGAAGCAGAAGTAAAGGCCTGAGTGAGAAGGTGTGAGAGGGATTCAACAGGTGTGTGCAGATGGTTCTGAAAACAGAAGGAGGGGCCCGTTCCAAGGCCGCTTCTAGCAGGCAGGAAGAGCAAGCAACGGGTCCCTTCCGAGACTCTCCAGAAGGCTACTGGGGCATTGCTGATTTTTACAGCAGAGCAAGAACCACAATGAACGTCTAACCCACAGAACCGTCTGGCAAATTTGTGAGGTCTTTTTTTCATCTTAACTACTAATCTGAGAGGCTTTTTAAAAAACTATTTTTATGTCATCATTAGAAAACCAATCCAATGGCAGACAGCTATGAAAAGAATTCTCTAGCACATGCCCCACAAATCACACAGCTGTGATGTCCCCCAAGCGCTGGCGGGACAGACACGATCCCGGGTGGAAGCGGCTCGAACCACTCAAAACGATGGCACGAAGAGAAGGGAAACCACAAACCGTTACCTGGGGTCCAGAAGCTGGATTAAAAAAAATAAAGCAAATCAAAGTATTTTCAACCATGCATGAAGGTAATAAAAATGAAGCAGGACATTTTGAAATTCCTCATAGGAGACATTACAATGGAAAGAAACATCCCTCCTTGGGTTTTTGGGGGTTCGCTCTGTCTTCCGAAGGCCCTTATTTACCTGATGATCCTCTGAGCAGCATACTGGTGGAGGGAACGGAACTGCGCCGACATGTTTGCCAGAGCGGCCAGGCAGTTTGTGTGCAGGTACTTGTCCTGTCAGAAAACAGCAAGTTAGTTTGTTTGTTTATTTATTTTGCCAGACAGAGAATATTTATTAAAGGATTAGTAGCACACAGAACTTCACACTAGGTGCTAATGAGAGGCAGCAGGCAAAAAATTGCCCAAGTACTATTGTCAGCTCATAGCACACAGACATCGACCACTGGCTCTGTCATTCTGTGTTGGGTTCTGGGGGCTGTTCTGTGTAGGCTGTAGTACAGGAAACCAGCTGTCCTGACCAGGTGAAAAGTTCCACAAGTCTCTTGAAAACAGCAAGCTTAAAATACACATCTGGTCTCCTCATGCAACAACTGTTGGGAACTAGACGCGTGGGTAAGTTGAGTCATCTCTGGGGCCAAAAAGCTCAGGCCCTGAATCCCTTCCCTCTATTCCCAAACCCATACAGCCCTGAAATCTCAGTATTCTTTTTTGTTTTCACACCCAGGTAGAAGCAACACCTGGCATAAATGGGACTGAGATGCTGGTCCTCATTATGCACCGTGTGAATACTGAAATCTTTCTCTGTGGGAATATTCATGTTCAAAACTGCACTGCGCTCTAATGGCTATGTCTAGTGTAGCCTATGCATTGCAATTCTCTTTCTAAAATCAAAACTAAAGCCCACTCTAAAGCACATCTGGCTCCACAAGTCTCAGATAAAAGGCTGAGGCGTAGCTATACGTTATTCCCAGCGAGGGAAATAACTGAAAAGAGCTTGCAAGCTTGACTGCACCTCTGAGCCATGAATTCCACATGTACCGTCAACACTGACAGGGATGGAAATTTGCTCCGATGTACTGCAAATACAACCCTGTACAATGACCCCCGAATGCGTTCAGGTTTCCTCTTCCTTCTTTTTCTCTTTACCGTCTGAACTTACATTTCCTCATGTTTGTGTCCTCCTACAATTGGCTGCTGCTGTTTTCAAAAGACAAATCAAACCTGGTCATGTAACAAAGACAAAGTCTTTAACTTCAATGGGCTCCGTGGCTGTTTCCCATTTCTTGTAAAATCTCTGGTAATCCGATGTACTTAATGCAAGAAATGGGCACTGCACACCTTACCTCAGGACCATGCTGACTGGTGGAGGTGTGTTTGACCTGGGCGCTTCGCGAGAATGGAAGCCCTCTGCATACTGAAACTGCTTCAAAACTATAGCTGACCCCTGAACACAGGTCTCAACTGTGCATATTGACATTTACACAAAGTTTCTTATAAACAGATGACAAATGTGCATTATTGCTAAAACAGTACAGCACTCCAAATGTGTGTTCTTGGTAACATTTCCTAGCTCACTTCACTGTAAGGCTACAGTTTACAATGCACAACACACACACACACACACACACACACACACACACACACACAAAACTGGGGTCACTGCCTATCTATGCCATCAGTGAGGCAGGCCAGCAGCCTGAATGATACAGTATTGTGGGGGGCAGGAGGGGGAGCTGCACCCCCTACCCCCACAATCTTCACAGGCCAACTTCCTGCTGAATGTATTTACAGAGAGAGAAAACCGGCTCGGCAAACTTACCCTTGTCCTTGTCATGTTGTACTGAATGGTTCTTATCACGACTAGGATCAGGAGACTCCCCAGAGAAATTTCAGTTAAAACCCGTTCGGAATACCAAGTAATGTTTTTTAATATCTGCGACAGAAAAAGAAAAGTCGAGGTGAGTAGCACTGTTTCGGGGAAATGGTCCCGCTGGGCCCTGAAGGACGAGGCGCCGTGGGGAAGCTCAGCGGGGAGGGCAACAGAACAGCCCGGTGGGCCAGGTGAGCGACCTCCTGCTCGGCCTCTCCCCCTCTAACCTCTCATGGCAAGGAAACAGAGGAGGTTGTGGCCAGCACAGCACCACGACCGGAAAGGGGGGTGGCACATGGCTTGAAAGCTCATCCCAACTCGGGCCAAACTGGTGTCCACACCAAGGGTCACTTTCTAACTAAAGCTGGTGCTGTGGCAAGGCCTGCTCCCGACAGAACCCCTGGGGCAGGCAGGAGTGCAGAGAAGCCCACTCCGGGCGGGGACAGCCCAGAGGGGTCAAAGGGACAAACCCCTTTGCCCCCAACCAGCTCGGAGGCGCACTGGCGCATCCCACGATCCCGTCCATGCACGGCCTTCCTCCCTGGCTTGCGAGGCCCAATGTGCCACGTTCTGCTGTTCATTCGTGAGAGACCAGGGGCCCACTGCTGCACCCGGGCAGAGCATGGAGTTTCCGCCCACCGTGACGAGCGAGGCCCCTTCGGAAGAAATGAATCTAGACTGTCGTTCATACCGAGGGGAGAGACAGCACTTGGGTCGCTCCAAAGTAGGGGAAAGCAATAATCTGAGAGGCGTGCTGACTTCAGGCTAGCCTCTGTGTCTGCTCCCAGCATGAAGAGCGTACCAAGAGGGAGACAAGGACACCGAGTGAAACAGAATCTTAAGGGTCAGAGAGAGGGAGTACAGTGTGGAGGGCATCTGGGGACGCAAGTTTGATCCTCGGCATCCTTATGGTACCGAGCAGCACCAGGAGTAGTACCTGAAAGCAGAGTCAGGAGTACGCCCTGAGCATCACTGGCGGGGCCTCAAACAAACAAGCAAGAAAAAGTCAAACTCTGAACCAAACCAGTGCGCTCAGAAAGTGACATTTGGGGATTTTGTTTTTCTTAAATGATGGCGATGGCCAGGAGTGCTCCTGGGGGCCAGGGCACTGGAGGCAGGCTGAGGGGCCCCGGGGCTGTACCGGGGAGTGCTGCGGGTGGGACAGGCAATGTGGTGCCAGGGAGGGGCCTCAGGCACGTGCTGGCCATGTGCTTTACCACCTGAGTTACCGATCACACCTGCCCCTCAAAAATATAGTGATAATTTAAAGGTAACTAGAGAAAATGAACTGAGTTACTAGCAGGATTTCTCACTGAAAGGCAAAAATGGATAGAGTTAAGTTTCACTGGATGACTGACTATACCCTGTGACTGTAAGCATAGTATTATGATTATTTTTCAAGTGCATACTTGTTATGGTGACCTTCTAAATATTTATGAATGAAATTCTACAGATGTTGTTTAGGTTACTGTTTTCAGACTTGAACCAAAATATAAACGGCAGCAACGATGGTACAAGTAGAGGAAGTAAAACCCCAAGAATGTTGGTGATTAGACCGGGAGGATGCATTCGGGATTTTCCCCAACATTTGCTGTCTTCATAAGAACTTTGCCCACCCAAAAGGACAGAGAGTGTAAGAGGGATTGTGCCTGCCACAGAGGCAGGAGGTGGGAAGAGGTGGAGGTGGCAGGAAGGATACTGGGAACACTGGTGGTGAAGAATGGGCACTGGTGGAGGGATGGGTACTTGAACATTGTTTGAAACACAATCATGAAAGTCTGTAAGTCTGTAAATGTATTTCACGATGATTCATTAATATTTTTTTTAAATGGGGCTGGAGCAACAGCACAGCAGATAGGGCATTTGCCTTGCACACGGCCAACCCGGGTTTGATTCCCAGCATCCCATATGGTCCCCTGAGCACCGCCAGGAGTAATTCCTGAGTGCAGAGCCAGGAGTAACTCCTGTGCATCTGTGCATTGCCGGGTGTGACCCAAAAAGCAAAAAAAGCAAAAGAAGCAAAAAAAAAATTTTAAATGGACAAAAATTATTAGTTATAAACAAAAAAAGAAGTTCATCAAATATATCAGCAAGGTGCAACTAAATAGGCTGATTTCCAATGAAACAAGTAATGTTAGAAGTAGGAAGGAGTCTCATTTTAATTTTAATCTCTGGTGAGATCCGAAAGAACTGTGAATTGCCACACTTGACTGCTTTTCTTTGTGCATTCTACTCATTTTCACAGTGCCATGACGGCTATTAACATACAGACTAACAAAATAGTTTATTTTGGGGGAAAAAAAAAGAAAGAAAGAAATCAGGTTATGTGATTTAGTATATTTAGACATTTCAGTACTGGGAAAGTATGGGCAAGTGAATTAGTGATTTGTATGTAAATAAAAACCCGGGTAATGAGGTGTTATAGAAAAATGTAAGCATGTACATAAAGGGAAATGCAAATACCATACACTAGACAACAGAGCTGTAATGATTAACACAATCATGGTAACACGACAGTTAACCATAAATAATGGCAAGACGGAGGAAGAAAACGTCTATGAACGAGGACGGGAGCTGGAAACCCAGATGGAAACCCATGAAAGTGAGAGAGGGAGCTAATGACTCATCTTCCAGCCGAGGAAGGCTGGTGCCAGAGACGCTGTATGGCAGGCTTGCTTTGCATGTGGCCCACCAGGCTTGAGTCTCAAACATCACTGGAAGTGATCCCTGAGCACAGAGCCAGGAGTAAGCTCTGAGCACTAGGGCATAGGAAGTAAGACCTATGCCCCATGCCTGCACCCCTCTTACCTCCAAAATAAACTCCAAAAACTAAAACCAGCTTGGTTTGGATACTAATTAGTATCTAGAACCTAATAAATGAAAAAAGAATGATATATGGAGGCTGGAGTGATAGCACAGCAGGTAGGGCGTTTGCCTTGCTCGTGGCCGACCCAGGTTCGATTCCCAGCATCCCATATGGTTCATGGAGCACCGCCAGGAGTAATTCCTGAGTGCATGAGTCAGGAGTAACCCCTGTGCATCTCCAGGTGTGACCCAAAAAGCAAGGAAAAAAAAGATATAATGAGGTTATTTAGAAGAACAGAGTCAGGGGGTAGGGGATGGGGGTTGATGGGAGGGAACCTGAGGACACTGGTGCTAGGAACTGTACACTGGTGGAGGGATGGGTGTTGTAACGCTGTATAAAATCTAATCATGAACAGCTTTATGAGGGTTTATCTTTCAGTGATTCAATAAAAAAAGTTAAAAAATAATTAAGAAGAACAGAGTCAAAACCATCTCTCTTTAGGAAGTGGTAACCAAGAACAGAGTTCCACTAAGGTTCTTCAACCATGTACATGTATTACTTAGACCCCCCAAAAATTGTCAAAAAAGGAAAATAAAATGGATTGGAATGAAACTCATCAATAAAGCTAAAATTGAAGTCAAATTATGACTGTAGCTCTATTCTCCTCCCACTATTCATTGATTTGCTCAAGCGGGTACCAGTAAAGTCTCACAACAAATTCTGAGACTTGTTACTGTTTTTGGCATATCAAATACATCACGGGGAGCTTGCCAGGCTTTGCTGTGTGAGCGAGATACTCTTGGTAGCTTGCTGGACTCTCCAAGAGGGGCGGAGGAATCGAACCCAGGTTGGCTGCATACACGGCAAATGCCCTACCCACTGTACTATCATTCCAGCCCCCAAAGTATGACACACTTAAAAAAATTATATTAGACTGATAATTACAGTTTTCTTAGTATTCTTGCCTTTCTTTTATCTTCTTTCAATTATTCTATACACAAGGAGCAATTCCCTGTGATTACTTCTGTCACAACTAAAAATTGGAAATGAAATGGAGAGTAGCAATTCACCCATGGGATAGCAAAAGTATTTACATCAATCACTAAACATTTTTTTTTTCTTTTTGGATCCCACCCAGCAGTGCTCAGGGGTTACTCCTGGCTCTACACTCAGGAATTACTCCTGGCAGTGCTTGGGGGACCATATGGGATGTCGGGGATTGAACACCTAGGTCGGCCATGTGCAAGGCAAACGTCCTCCCCGCTGTACTATCACTCTGGCCTCAATTACTAAACGATTTTGAGGAGGTTCATAAATCCACAGACATACTGTCTTAAGTCAGGTTCTTATAGAAATCTCTGCCCAGAAGGAAAAGCAAGGCATGGCCAGGTGCTGGTAAATCTCTCAGGGGGCCTGTCTGTCTGCGACTCTCTAACTCGAATCCAGGTCACGGCAACTCACCACTTCGTGAATGGACCTATTGAAGCCGTCATCTTCTGTAAGAATCAACAGTATTATAAGCGCCATGTACACATGGTGTGAATTTCTTTCTTCAACGTGATAGAGGATCTCAAGAATTGGTAAAACCTAGGGAATAAAACATTTGATTTACTAGTCCAATTTCTTAATGATCAGATTCAGTGTGTTCCAACTTTGCACTTATGTGACGGAGCCTCCGACTTCACTTCAGAGTTAAGACTTTTCTGTGGCAAAAAGCAAGCTCACAAACCATGCTGTGACTAAAAGTTCTTTCCAGTAGACATGTAGCTAAGCTACCAGCAAGGAAAAAAAAAATCATCTCCCTCTGCGAAGGCGAGTCTGAGAAAGTAGCCACAGAGGGGGAGGCTGTTTGCCAAGGGCAGACACCGTTGGTCACACCTGGTTGCAAGCAGAGACCCATCTGCTTTGCGCCTCGCCAGCACGAACGTATCCTACAAGTGGGATGCGCTCAATATTATTCTTTTTTTCCTTCTTCTTTTTGAATGCTCAGGGGTTATTCCTGGCATAGGGGAACCATGTGGGACATGGGGGATCAATCCCGAGTCAGCTGTGTGCAAGGCAAACACCCTACCTGCCGTATTAATGCTCCAGCCCACAATGTTCTCTTCTTAATAGCAAAAATAAAATAAAATAAAAAATAGAAAGAACTGTCACCCACAAAATCCGGTCAGCACAGGAAATTTCCTAGCAATAACATATTTTCAAATCAAAGCTGCAATAAATATGTATTACAGAAGGCAAAAGGTAGAGGAAGATATCAAAGAGCAATTTGGAAGAAAAACAAATCAAAAAAGAAAAAAAAAAGAAAAAGAAACAAGTCCTGACTTCTCCCCACAAATCCCCAACAAAACCTGTTTTCATATATGTCATTATATCAGACAAGTCTTACCTGTGTCATCATAAATAGGCCAACTTTCTTTACCTGGCTCTTTCTAGAACAGGTAACGTCATGGCTTTCTGTGTATTCCCACCACTTTCCTTAGAATACTCAGGACAGTTTCTGTTATCCCAACCCATCAATAACAAGCCTCCTTCTGCTTTCACTCAGGGAAGGGAGAACACTGCCACACCCCATTTTGCTACTTAAGTCAATATTTTACGCATATCACTGGTGGGCAGATAGGTTCTTTTCTTATGCTCTTTGTCCTTGATGTCACTGTGACATAGAATCTGCTCTTCAATCTGCTCTTGAAGGTTGTCTGTTTGTTTTTAATAATCTGTTTTGCTCCCAGCCCCATGCCAGGCACCAACCCAGGTCATAAGGCAAGAGCTCTACTGCCAAGCTATATACTGCCGGCTCTCTTCAGATGGATTTTAACATTCCATGTGTACTCCAGATTTTGTCTTTAACATGGGGGGAAAAATGGAGATGGAAAAAGCTGGTGGCTCTATAAAAACTGATGTAGAAGCTCTTCAGAGATGTTCACGTTTTGGTTGCACACCAATAGCACAGCTATGTTAGTGTATACTTCAAACACAATCTGAATTGAGGCAGCTCGCTTTTCTAATCACAGAAACACTTATATTTACTCATTAATTAGAAGGGAATCTGAGGTCAGAGAGATAGTGGGGAGGGCATTTGACATGCATGCAGCTGACCCGGATTTAATCCCCAGCATCCCATTTGGTCCCTGAAGCACCACCAGGAGTGACTCCTGAGTGCAGAGCCAGGAGTAACCCATGAGTATAGCCAGGTGTGGCCCTAAAACAAAAACAAAAAAAATAATAAAAAGAAACACGCCCTTCCTCCCCCAAAAAAGAAAGAAGGAATCACTGATTAGCTGTAGCAGTTACTACTTATGAGCAAAACTGGAACCAATGCCACTAATATACCTAGAGATGGCAAACACTTCGATGACGGCCAGTATAACTGACCTGGGCTTCGAGACGGCCTTCCAGAATAGTCTTCCCCTTGGGGACATGCCATATGCACTCAGCAGGCAGGCACTGAGCAGCTGCACAAAACCACCAGGGTATAAAACCTTTTCCCCCCTTTCGTCCCTTATTTATGGTGCTACAGATCCGGACCAGGGCTTCACACACAAAGGCAAATGTCCTACTGCTGAGCCACATTCTGGCCCTATAACCTATAAAAAAATTTTTTTGAAGGGGCCTAGGAGGGCCTTGCATGCGGCTAACCCAGATTCAATCTGTAGCATCCCATGTGGAACCCCAAGCACTGCTAGGAAAAAAAAAACCTCAGAAAAAAGCAGAGGGTCTCGGAGACCTCGGTGAGACAGAATCACGGGCAGGGGGTACTGAGGAGGGCTCGGGGACAGGGAAGTGCGGGGCGCAGCTGCTGTCTGACACCTGGCACTGCCGCGAGCACTGGCTCCTCCATCTCTGCCCAGGTCTGTCGGCATTGGCCCTCCGGAGTGACCGGCCTCCTCCTTGGGGCAACCATGCCCACACACAGCCCTAGAAAAGAAAAGAGAAAAAAAAAAAGTAGTATTCAAAGAAACGCCAGAGGCACCAAGCAGCGGCTACTCACGAGGTTCTCCATGTCGGTGCGGGCCAGCATGTAGGTGCGGATGTTGCTGTTCTGGTGCAGCAGGGTGTAGAGCAGCAGCGTGGCCTGGTCCGAGGCCTGCTGCTCACACAGCGCCGTGTACAGGCTGTTGAAGTTGATCTGGAAGGTGTGGGGGGCGGACGAGGGGCAAGGGCTGCTGTCTGCAACGTGAACACAAACACCGGGACGTGAGGATGGGCTCAGTGCTGGCTGCCAGAACACCAACAGTGCTGCCCCGGGGCCCAGGAGATTTCCCTTCCAACCCTTCCTTTACTTTATCTTTGGCTGCTTTGGTTCGGTTTGGGGGCGACACCTGGCTGTGTCCAGGGGACCATTCCTAAGCGATGCCAAGGATAGAAACTAGTGGGATGTGGACGAGGCAAGAGCCGGAAGCCCGGTGGTACCTCCCCAGTCCTCTACACTTGAAATCTCACTTTAGGAAGAACTTTAGTAGAAACTGTGGTAACTGCAGCTGGCCACGCTTTCTTGGTCCAACTGAAACATATGAAGATAGTAGAAACGAAATGTTCTAGAATAACACAAAAGCCTCAAGCAGGGGGTACTATCTAAATGGTTTTCTGGTACTATCTAAAATGGTTTTCTAACCACAACACCCAAAAGGAGAGAGAACAAAAGGGAATGCCCTGCCACAGAGGCAGGGTGGGATGGGGGGATGGGGGGTGGGAGGGATACTGGGATCAGTGGTGGTGGGAAATGGGCACTGGTGGAGGGATGGGTATTTGATCATTGTATAATTGAAACCCAAGCACAAAAATTTGTAAGTCTACAACTGTACCTCATGGTGTCTCACTAATAAAAATTAAAAAAAAATTAGAAATTGAGCTCCCATTTGAAAAAAAAATGGTTTTCTAAGGATTATGTAGAAAACCACACAACAGAACTTTTTTATCTCTTAAGGCAAAGATATCACACTCAGCTCCTGGGAGAGAACAAGGCAGAGTCTCCTACCCTATGCCTGACTGTCTCCACCAGGGCCCAACAGCTGAAGACCACCGAGGCCCAGCCAAGGCCATGCTGGGACCACTCTCCACACACTTGGATGAGCCTCACGCATAAAAGAACTGACAGAGGAACCCAGGTGTGTGGGACCCGGGGCTGAGATCTCCAAGCCTGCACAGTTTGGGACTGGACCTGCCAGTAACTAGACAGTTACACCCACCAACTGCCGTGTAACTCCAACAACGGCCAGGACCCAGAGATCATCACACTCAGCTCCTGGGAGAGAACAAGGCAGAGTCTCCTACCCTATGCCTGACTGTCTCCACCAGGGCCCAACAGCTGAAGACCACCGAGGCCCAGCCAAGGCCATGCTGGGACCACTCTCCACACACTTGGATGAGCCTCACGCATAAAAGAACTGACAGAGGAACCCAGGTGTGTGGGACCCGGGGCTGAGATCTCCAAGCCTGCACAGTTTGGGACTGGACCTGCCAGTAACTAGACAGTTACACCCACCAACTGCCGTGTAACTCCAACAACGGCTAGGATCCAGAGATTATCACACTCAGGTCCCGGAAGCGCGCGGCCGCATTCGCGGCTGCGCGACATCTTATCATCTCATTCCTAATTTGGTCAAACTGGCAGGCTACCAAATGTAACATGCCCACATGGCAGAGTCTGGCAAACTCCCCGTGGTATACCCAATATGCCAAATACCAGTAACAATGATGGGTCTCATTCTCCTAACCCTGAAAAAGCCTTGAATATGGCACTTTAAAAAAAAAAAATCTCAGGGCTAGGACGAAGAAGACGTTACTGGCACCTGCTCGAGGCAATCGACGAACAACAGGGTGGTCGTGATGATGAAGGCAAAGATAAAAATAAAAGAACTAAGATATGTAAGCTCAACTTCATCACTATTTTTACATTCACATAATCAACCCAAGTAGACAAACGAGGAAACGGTCTTATACAGGGACACGGGGCAGTTTGGTCCTGAAATACACATGATGTAATCATGACCATGAAATGCTTGGGCTGCACACGAAATGAACACCATCCTAAATGGTGGTCACTTGGAACGAAGAGCACAAAACCTTCTACATAAAGCCAAATATACTCTATTAAGATAGGGTGTGAAAAAGAAAAAAGGGGGGAGTAGAGAATTAAGTATAGCAGGTAGGGGACTTGCCTTGCACATGCCGAGCAGGTTTTTTTTTTTTTATTTTTTATTTATTGAATCACTGTGGGAAAGGTTACAAAGCTTTCAGGTTTATGTCTCAGTCATGCAAACATCAAACACATTTCCCTTTACCAATACTTATTTTTTCCCATGAAGAACCCCAATAAAACCCCACCCCCCACCCCTCCCCGTCCCTGTGAGGCAGATGAATTCTAGTTAACACTCTATCCGCTTTGATTAGATTGTTTCAATAAAAGATCCACCACTATTATTTAGAGTTTACCCCCCCCCCCCAAATCAGACATGCTGAAAAAGCATTGTGAAGTGATTTGCTTTCTACAGCTGGGTTCAAGAATTAAATGTTGGTTTTGAATTTCTGCTATTTTACCTATTGACCCTGGAAGTATTTCTACTGAAAGTCAGATAGTTAAGAAATTGGTTTCTGTGTTCTGGAGTCGTGGCCGTGCTGGAGAGCCGCTCGTGGGGGGCAACTGGTGGCCTCGGTAGGGCGTGAAGGGCGGAGCGAAACGCCCCCCTTCCCATGAGGTTTTAGTCGCCCCCACACTCCCAGCTCATACCTGCTGTCCACAAGGCTCCCATGTGGCCGCCATCTTTCTTTCCAGAGAGGAGAGGGCGAATGGGGCAACACCCTTTCCCCTCCGGCAGACTTGATGGGCTGGATCAACGCACAGTCCGTTCACTTTTCTGCTCCAAGCCGCTGGGCCCTGCATTAAGTCCTTGTGCTTCTGGGGCCATGGCCGCGCTGGAGAGCCGCTCGCGGGGGGTGACTGGCGACCTCGGTAGGGCGTGAAGGACGGACCGGAACGCCCCCCGACCCATGAGGCTCCAGTCGCCCCCACTCCCCCGGCCCACACCTGCTGTCCACAAGGCTCCCATGTGGCCGCCATCTTTCTTTCCAGAGAGGAGAGGGCGAATGGGGCAACACCCTTTCCCCTCCGGCAGACTTGATGGCCTGGATCAATGCATAGTCCGTTCACTTTTCTGCTCCAAGCTGCTGGGTTCTGCATTAAGTCCTTGTGCTTCTGGGGCCGTGGCTGTGCTGGAGAGCCGCTCGTGGGGGGCAACTGGTGACCTCGGTAGGGCGTGAAGGACGGACCGGAAAGCCCCCCTTCCCATGAAGTTTTAGTCGCCCCCACACCCCCGGCTCATACCTGCTGTCCACAAGGCTCCCATGTGGCCGCCATCTTTCTTTCCAGAGGGAGGAGGGCGGAAGGGAGCAACACCCTTTCCCCTCTAGGCAGAAATGATTGCCTGGATTAACGCATAGTCCTTTCACTTTTCTGCTCCAAGCTGCTGGGTTCTGCATTAAGCCCTTGTGCTTCTGGGGCTGTGGCCGTGCTGGAGAGCCGCTCGTGGGGGGCAACTGGTGACCTCGGTAGGGCGTGAAGGACGGACCGGAACGCCCCCCTTCCCATGAGGTTTTAGTCGCCCCCACACCCCCGGCCCACACCTGCTGTCCACAAGGCTCCCATGTGGCCGCCATCTTTCTTTCCAGAGAGGAGAGGGCGAATGGGGCAACACCCTTTCCCCTCCGGCAGACTTGATGGCCTGGGTCAATGCATAGTCCATTCACTTTTCTGCTCCAAGCTGCTGGGTTCTGCATTAAGTCCTTGTGCTTCTGGGGCCGTGGCTGTGCTGGAGAGCCGCTCGTGGGGGGCGACTGGTGACCTCGGTAGGGCGTGAAGGACGGACCGGAACGCCCCCCTTCCCATGAGGCTTTAGTCGCCCCCACACCCCCGGCTCATACCTGCTGTCCACAAGGCTCCCACGTGGCCGCCATCTTTCTTTCCAGAGGGAGGAGGGCGGAAGGGAGCAACACCCTTTCCCCTCTGGGCAGAAATGATTGCCTGGATTAACGCATAGTCCTTTCACCTCTCTGCTCCAAGCTGCTGGGTTCTGCATTAAGCCCTTGTGCTTCTGGGGCTGTGGCCGTGCTGGAGAGCCGCTCATGGGGGGCAACTGGTGACCTCGGTAGGGCGTGAAGGACGGACCGGAACGCCCCCCTTCCCATGAGGTTTTAGTCGCCCCCACACCCCCGGCTCATACCTGCTGTCCACAAGGCTCCCATGTGGCCGCCATCTTTCTTTCCAGAGGGAGGAGGGCGGAAGGGAGCAACACCCTTTCCCCTCTGGGCAGAAATGATTGCCTGGATTAACGCATAGTCCTTTCACTTTTCTGCTCCAAGCTGCTGGGTTCTGCATTAAGCTCTTGTGCTTCTGGGGCTGTGGCCGTGCTGGAGAGCCGCTCGTGGGGGGCAACTGGTGACCTCGGTAGGGCGTGAAGGACGGACCGGAACGCCCCCCTTCCCATGAGGTTTTAGTCGCCCCCACACCCCCGGCTCATACCTGCTGTCCACAAGGCTCCCATGCGGCCGCCATCCTTCTTTCCAGAGAAGAGAGGGCGAATGGGGCAACACCCTTTCCCCTCCGGCAGACTTGATGGCCTGGATTAACGCATAGTCCTATCACTTTTCTGCTCTAAGCTGCTGGGTTCTGCATTAAGTCCTTGTGTTTCTGGGGCTGTGGCCGTGCTCCAAACTTAACTCTGACTTTCAGGGAGAAAGATTGGGTGGTTTACTTCTCATTGATCACTTTGTATATAGAGAGATGTCGCGCGGCCGCATAAGCGGCCGCGCGGTTTTGAGAAAAAGTCCTCGTTCCCGCATACTCGAGCTGTGTTTGTAGAGGCTTCTGGTCACCGGGGTTCCATCTGGGGGAGGCGGGATGCGGCACCTACTCCATCTGGAACTTGCGGGTGAACTCGGCTCTTTTTGGAACCTGTTTTTTCTTTTTTTTTTTTCCTCCGGGATCCCGCACCCTCCATGTGTTCTTTCTCTTATGCTTAAGGCGTCAAAGATGGCGCTGGGGGGCGGGCTGTGGGCATGACTTCCGGAATCAGAGGTTACCTGGGAGGTGTAGTCCGGCAGATTTGAGAAAAAGTCCTCGTTCCCGCATACTCGAGCTGTGTTTGTAGAGGCTTCTGGTCACCGGGGTTCCATCTGGGGGAGGCGGGATGCGGCACCTACTCCATCTGGAACTTGCGGGTGAACTCCGCTCTTTTTGGAACCTGTTTTTTCTTTTTTTTTTTTCCTCCGGGATCCCGCACCCTCCATGTGTTCTTTCTCTTATGCTTAAGGCGTCAAAGATGGCGCTGGGGGGCGGGCTGTGGGCATGACTTCCGGAATCAGAGGTTACCTGGGAGGTGTAGTCCGGCAGATTTGAGAAAAAGTCCTCGTTCCCGCATACTCGAGCTGTGTTTGTAGAGGCTTCTGGTCACCGGGGTTCCATCTGGGGGAGGCGGGATGCGGCACCTACTCCATCTGGAACTTGCGGGTGAACTCGGCTCTTTTTGGAACCTGTTTTTTCTTTTTTTTTTTTTCCTCCGGGATCCCGCACCCTCCATGTGTTCTTTCTCTTATCTGCCGAGCAGGTTTGACCCCTGATATTCCGTAGTCCCCAGAGCCCACCAGAGTGACCCCCAGGTACAGAGCCAGGAGTAACCCTTGGGCACTCTCAGTACGGCCCCAAAACAAAACAAAAAAACTATCTTCAAATTAAAATTTTTGAAATTAATAGTCACAGTCACCAAGGGTAATCCATTGATAAAATAACAGCTCAAACAACATAATTTTAACTAGTCTTAACACCATAAAAATCAGTACGCTAAACATTAGTCATAAAGGAAGTCAAGAAAGATAAATTAGAGAAAATTATAATCCTTTCAGACAAAACACTGGAAAACCATGACATTACAAAGAACTGGAGTTTTTTGTATATTCTGAAAAATATGATTTGGAGGGGGTATGAAAAGGGTTGTGCCAGCCCAGTTCCCCGGGCTTACTGCCGGCGGTGCCCGGGGGTTATGCGTGATGTCCGTGGATCAAACCTGGCCACCATGTTTCTGGCCTTATCTCTCCACCCAACAAAGAATTGTTTTGTAAGGACCAGAACCACTGGCAAATCCAAACATTAATAATAGCAAAGGTATAATAAATGACTGAGACACTCAGCTACAATGTCTAAGAAGTTACACTAGAACAGCCCTGAAACAGAATGTGGGAGCCCCCAAAATTGTTTCTGTATTCAATAACTGGTCTTCTTACCCATCTTAATTTTTGCTGGACAGTCTAGAAATTTTGGTTACTACATTAACCTTGCTTTTTTTTAATAGTGACCTTATGTATTTTATTATTTATTCATTTATGTACAAAGAACTGAGATTCTTATCAGTTTTAAATATACAAAACATGTTTTAATTTATTTTACAATAAATTAGATATAATTTATTAATTACAAATAAATAATTTTATCATTTAATAGAAAAATTTTTTACTTTAGAAAGACCTTTAATAGAACTCATGGTGATTACAGCTGGTCACTCTTAGTCCAAACAGTAAAATTCTTGGTCCAACTGAAATGTATTAAGAGGTAGCACTGTAGCACTGTCCTCCCGTTGTTCATCGATTTGCTCGAGCGGGCCCAGTAACATCTCACAACAAGCTGTGAGACTTGTTACTACTGTTTTTGGCATACTGAATACATCACAGGGAGCTTGCCGGGCTTTGCTGTGTGGACGAGATGCTCTCGGTACCTTGCCAGGCTCTCTAAGAGGGGAGGAGGACTCGAACCCGGGTCGGCCATGTCGACCACGTGCAAGGCAAACGCCTTACCCGCTAAACTATGGCAATAAATACAGAGGTTAAAAAAATAAAACTTTGCTCCTCAGAAAGAATCTTTGAGAGAAGAAATCACAAACCTTGTGTGTTATTAAAGGACATTATGGGAATATTTAAAATAACATATTATTAACATTATTGCTTTTTTTTGTTTTGTTTTGGTTTTGTTTTTTGGGTCATACCCAGCAATGCACAGGGGTTACTCCTGGCTCTGCACTCAGGAGTTATTCCTGGCGGTGCTCAGGAGACCATATGGGAAGCTGGGAATCAAACCCAGGTCGACCACGTGCAAGGCAAACACCCTACCCACTGTGCTATCGCTCCAGCTCCCCATTATTGCTATTTAAAGATTTCCTATTGTTTCCAAACAGATCAGTAGGCAGGTTTGGACTGATGCTGGGGTTTGGCAACCACAGCCTACAAGCTGCCCATAACGTACTTCAGAAAAAGTTTCATTAGGACCCAGCCATGCTCATTTGCTTGTGAAAATATGATTGCCACTTTGCCGCTCCAGCGTCAGAGAATTAAGAGGTGAGGATAGAGACCACAGGGGCCCCCAAGTCACTGGACACAGTTAACCAAAAAGCTTGCAGAGCTCTGCTCGAACTTTTAGTTCTGTGAGACTCTAACAGGACTTACCTATCAGCTGCTGCTGAGGCACACCCAGACGTATTTGGGGCCAGAGGAATAATACAGTGGGAGGGCAGTGCCTTGCAAAAAGCTGACCCAGGTTCGATCTCCAACACCCCATGTGGTCACTCCCAAGCCTGCCCAGGAGTGATCCCTGAGTACAGAGCCAAGAATAAGCCCTGGCAGTGCCATGTGTCGGCCTTTCCCCTCCTAAAAAAACAAACAAACCCAAAAGCAGGGGGCCAGAAGGATAGTACAGTGGGGTGGGCATTTGCCTTGCACGTGGCCAGTCCAGGTTCTATCCCCAGCATCCCATATGGTCCCCCGAGCACTGCTAGGAGTAATCCCTGAATGCAGAGCCAGGAATAACCCCTGAGCATCTCCAGGTGTGACCTCCCCCCTAAAAAAAAAAAAAAATCAAAGGCAGTACTCAGAGTCAATAAAGCAATCACTCCAGGCTGTGCCTGGCTGAGTACGAGGGCCAAGTCCTGGAAGTGTCCAGGGGTCACTGGGCAAATCCCAGCAGAAGAGGGTCAGGGGAGCCAGGGCTGGAGCCCAGAGCCTCACACGTGTACGGTGCTCTCTGACTCTGGGCCACCTCCTCAGCCCCGGGAACAAAGACTTTCAACAAAGGTCCCCTGCAATCTGTCTTTTGGAGGCTCCGGGTGAATTTTAATCTCTAGGAGGTAGAACGATTCCAATTCACTGCAAAGAAAAGGCAATGGGAGATGACCAAAAGGCCCAGAGGACCCATCTCTGATTTATCTGATTTTCCAGAGGCCTGGAGCGATAGCACAGAGGGTAGGGCATTTGCCTTGCATGTGGCCCACCCGGGTTCGATTCCTCTGCCCCTCTTGGAGAGCCCAGCAAGCTACCGAGAGTATCCCGCCCACATGGCAGAGCCTGGCAAGCTACCCGTGGTGCATTCGATATGCCAAAAACAGTAACAACAGGTCTCAGGTCTCACAATGGAGACATTACTGGTGCCCGCTCGAGCAAATCCAATGAACAACGGGAGGACAGTGCTACCGTGCTATATAGAGCACAGAGCACTGTCCTCCTGTTACAGTGCCACATACAAGGGGGGAAAAAAACTCACTTTTTCTCATCTTCAACCTGAAAAAAGTAAAAGATTGACGGATCTCTTCACAACAATGGATAATGCATAAGACGAGGTGAAAACAAAACAAAACAAAACAAACCCCACCCGCCCCAACTCCTCAGGAAGAAGAGAAGACAGTCACCAACCTTGCGTGTTCCTAAAGGACATGACAGCCTGTCGGTAGGGGTTGGGTGCGTCCTCGGCATCCGTCAGGTTGGCCAGCACCAGGAGCAGCAGGAGGCTCTGGTTGGCCAGCGGGGAAGTCAGCTCTGGGGCGGCGGCAGCTTTGCTGCCCACCCCGCCCAGGGTGAAGACCGTCCAGAGTCCAGCTGCAGAGGAGAGACACAGTTCAGGGAAGGTTGGGACAAGAAGCATGAGCACTTCTGTACACCTATGCTTTCTTTATGTTTTAAAAGGGCTGAAAGAATATGTTTCTTTTCCAGCAATACAAGTAAAACAACTTCATTAGTTACTGCCATATTGACTATTTTTTAAACGTCAAAGATATCATCTCCTCATTCTACTTCTTACTCTGCAGAAATAATCACCAGAAGTCTCTTACCTGTCTTCGGATTATTCTTTGTATATAAAGATATACACATAGTTATATGACCATTTTATGTATAAGCTGATACCAGTATATGTGAACTAAATAAGAAAATGCAAATCCCCCAAATTGGCTGAAAAAGACCCAGGTCCGAATGGAAAAAGAGAAAGGTAACTTTAACCCTAAAAAGAAACAAAGTTCAATTTTTCAAATACTTAAATAACCTTTAGCAATTTGCCAATTCTTAGATCAGCAGATCCAAAGTAGGGAACGCGATTCCTTTCTACACAAGTTACCTGACTAGAAAAATCTCCTTGATACAGAAATTTGACAAAAACTGCCTTTCACACGAAATAGAGAAATAAAGATTTTTAAAAGCTGGAATCAAACAAAATCAAATAAAATCTAATAGGAAACTCTGTTGAAAGGATAAATGCATCACACAAGCAGGGTCTGTCTCTGGAACACAGTAATCGCTCACCAATGAAAAATCTTTCATGTAAAGAAGGCAGAGAAAACAAACACGCTGATTTCAACAGGTGCCATTTTTGGCACAGCGGGTAGGGCGTTCGCCTTACAAGCGGCCAACATGGCCGACCCGAGTTCGATTCCTCCGCCCCTCTCGGAGAGCCCGGCAAGCTACCGAGAGTATTCGATATGCCAAACACAGTAACAACAAAGTCTCCAATGGAGACGTTACTGGGCCCGCTCGAGCAAATCGACGATCAACGGGAGGGCCTTTTACTTTTTTTACTTTTAAAGTCCCCACCCATTAGGCGGCAGGGAGTGGGAGGAGGGAGTCAGTATGTGTCTTTTGTCTAGTTCTATGGTGCCAGCAGGCCAGCCCAGGGCTTCACATGTCATGGATGGGCTCTACCACTGAGCTCCATCACCAACCCCCAAACCCATCATTCTTCAATCCTTTCCTATTTCCTTCAGTGTTTACTGTTTGACCCTGAAGGACACCAATGCATTTGACCACAACTCAGAAACAACTCAAGACATGATAAGATACAGATTCGTCTATTACATTAGGCTTTACTCCTTATAAAGTCTAATTTCTTATATTACAAGCAGATGTCACTGTGCGTGGGGGGTGTCTTGGCCGGCGAACCTTGGGACCCACTCCTCACTCTGGGCTGCGGGGGACCCCCGGGGGTGCAGAGAGAAACACGCAGCGCAGAGATGGGACCCAACAGGCAACTCATGACTCTCCAGCCAAGCTCAGGCGTCTCTTAGCAAGGTGCCTGCGGTTAGGGTTGGGACGGTCTCACACAGACACTGAATGGGGCTGGTGTGGGAGGTTGAAGGGGTGAACCAGGCCCCGCATGGGCACCAACCTGAGCCCCTCGCTGCCTTCCGTGGTCCACAGTGGTCCCTGATGGCAGCAGCACTTACTATCAGGGGGAACATCGGCGGCCAGGCAGCCCCAGGACTGACCCCTGGGCTCCCGAGCACAACCAGGAGGAGACAAAAGGAACGGAACGAGAGCGAGAGCAAAACACTGGTCCACTTCACCACGCCTGAAGTTATTTTCTCATTTCTCTTTTCGCTGTCCATTTGTTTACATCTAATAGTTCAACTTTTTTATGGAGTTTATGAGCATATACCATGAAACGACTTTCTGTGTACCCTAGCAATTTATGAGTTCTTGCATAGTTCAGGTCTTCTAAAGCTCAGACGATTTCTGTGATGGGTAGGAATGATTTTAACTGAGTTTGAGGGGTTTTATTTATTTATTTTGGCTTTTTGGGGTCATTTCTAGCGCTGCTCAGGAGTGGTTCCTCCTGGCTCTGCACTCAGAATTACTCATGGTGGTGCTTGGGGGACCATATGGGACGCCAGGGATTGATTCCGGGTAGGCTGCATTAAAGCTAATGCCCTCCTTCCGTACTATCTCTCTGGCCCTTATTCTCCACTCTAAGCAGCCTTACCGCGGTGGGATTTCCCTGCAGCCTCAAAGCACCAGCACCTCTGGAGCAGACCGTCTGCATGTGCATGAGCAAATCTGTGTATGTCTGAGAAAATCAGAGGCCCAGCACAAGAAATCAGCAAAAAAGGATTTTAAGGTGATTTTTTTAAAGACACAAACTTTTCTGTGAAGAACTCTGCCCCCTTCCATTTTATTAGGAATCCGGATTTGGGTGAACACTGTGTCGACTAATAACTGATAACTACATTGCACAGACTTTAGTAGATTAAAAAAAAATTCACGACAGAGCTGAGGAAATTTAACACACACACACACACAGAAAGCATAACCAGAAACTATGAATTCTTTGCCATGGGATTGATTGGCATATGTTGGTGGGGACAGGATGGGGTTGGGACCACAGTGAGTGGTGCTCCAGGTTTACTCCTAACCCTGTGCTCAGGGATTAATCCTAGTGGCGTCCAGAGGACCATATGCTGGGGATTCACGCTGGTGTGGGCAGCATCTATGGCAAGCACCTTGGCAAGCCGTATTATTTCTCCAGTCCCTAACTTGTATATTTTATCTTTTAAAAAAAATTATTCCAGGGGCTGGAGCAATAACACAGCAGGTAGGGCGCTTGCCTTGCATGCGGCTAACCCGGGTTCGATTCCCAGCTTCCCATATGGTCCCCTGAGCACCACTAGGAGTAATTCCTGAGTGCAGAGCCAGGAGTAACCCCTGTGCATCGCCAGGTGTGACCCCAAAAGCAAAAAAACAAAAACAAAAACAAGCCCTATTGGCGACAGTGCTGTGATCCAGTGTCAAAGTCTGAAACTTCTGCCTCTCCCAGAGGCAGGAGGGTGTGAGGAGAGCAAGGGGCTGAGGTTGGTGGGTGGGAAGCAGGCGCTGGTTAAGGGAGTGGTGCTGAAATCTAATATGCCTGAAGCCCACTCATGAGTAACTACACGGTGACTTAAAATGAAATACTGAAAAAAAAAAAAAGATTCCCATCACCTTCGTCTCCTCGGCACGCTCCGTAACCCGCTACCCCTAGATCCACCGCCTGCGTGCCAGGATTACAAGCAAAGAAAAACACAATTACAAAGTTCCATCTGCAACAAAAATAATCACGAAATGCTTTCCAAGGCAAAATCGAAGTGCTTTCTTTGGCCCTTCTTTACAGTTGTAGATCTTCATTACTAGGCGGGGGGAAGAGCCGGTGCCGACGGTCAAACTTCACAAACACAATTCTGCTTTTCTGTTAGCCCAACTTCTCTCTCCTCCTCGTTCCTGCTCCCAGCTTTTCTGGGGGTGCTGAGAAGGTTGTCAGGATCCCACACAAGCTCGCAGTGTCTGGGGGGCACCCCCGGCCTACAGTCCTCTTGCCTCGCCCAGATCGTTATTAGCGCTCGGTTGAGTTCCCGTACAGGACAAACGGGCAGTCTGCCACTGCCGACATTCTGGTTTAAACTGGCCTGTAAGACCGAACCAGAATCTTCCAAAAGTTCATTTCTCTTGTTGATCCAAACCTCTGATCTATGACCCAAAAATCTTAATGGGATTGCGTTTTCCTGTTGGCAACAACAAAAAAAATCCTCCCCACCAAAAAAATAAGGGAAAGTTACAGTATAATTCCTTCCGCTCTAAAAACAAAATTAAGGATGGACTCCAATTTTTGTTTTAATTGTATCCCTCAGGATCTCCAAATAAACTCAAACTGAATTTCACCTAAAATCAAAAAAAGTACTGAAATTAACCAGGACAACAAATCCAATGTTAATTTCTTTTTCGAAGTACAAACTGAAGATTATTAATTCAACAGTAGATTGAGAGGGCAGCAGAGAGAGACAGTTGAGAAGAGACACTCTCCTTGCACACGGCGAACCCTGGTTCAAACCTTGGTTCAACCCCCCCCCCCCCCGCACCCCCTCCCCACACACACAGGGTGCTCCACGGAGCACCAGGAGAGATCCCTGAGCAGAGAGTCAAGACAAGCCCCTGGGTACCACCGGGTGTGACCCCAAGCCTCCCCCGTTTGTTTTTAAATGTGGGAAAGATACAAGGTATAAGAAACTGAAACATCAGGTAACTGGTCCTGCTCCTGGACACACTACACCAAGCTCCTTGTAGCTAGCGGATACTGAGGAGTCCATCAGAACGAGACAGATACGTAATAGATACCATCCACCACAGTCAGGAAATTTTGTTGGAAGGGTTCTATTTCTATACTTTGAATGTAGTATTACTGTACTGTACTGTACTGTACTGTGCTCCCGTTGTTCACTGATTTGCTTGAGTGGGCCCAGTAACATCTCCATCGTGAGACTTGTTGTTACTGTGTTTGGCATATTGGATGCGTCACGGGGACCTTGCCAGGCTTTGCTGTGCGGGCGAGATACTCTCAGTAGCTAACTGGGCTCTCTGAGAGGGGCGGAGGAATCAAACCCGGCTCAGCCGGGCTGGCCGCATGCAAGGCAAACACCCTACCGCTGTGCTATCACTCCAGCCCATTTTGAAAGTATCATAGCAAAATAAACCATGTATCATGGAGGAAAAAAAAAGAGGAAAGGGATGTCAGCTGTTAGGAACTGATGTGAAAATTCCACTAGAGACAAGGACAAAAGGCTGAGCACTCAGTGGTGCCGATGAGGGTCAGGCCATATGCCAGGGACAAAACCTATAATGGGCGGGGGGAGGGAGGGAGACCATGTCTGCCCATTCAAAGGTGGGAACTGCAGAAAGGGGAGGTGAGAGCCAAAGTAGCTACAAACCGGTTCCATCTGGCCGTTGCCCTGAACGCGTGCGCCCTGGTAGGGGCCCAGTCCTGCGGCTGGACCCAGACCCCACACTGGCTTTCCTGCTTAGCA